CTCCCCCTCTCTCCCCCTCTCTCCCCCTCTCTCTCTCTCTCTCCACCTCTCACCCTCTGCCACGCTCTCACCCGTCTCCCTCGCGCCGGTGAGGCAACAGGTTCGACCCATTATTCCGCCGCTCGTCATAAACTGCCGTCCATGTTGCCTGGGCCGGCCGAACTTTCAGCCGGGTTACCCTGGCGCACGTGTCGGCAAGGGCGTCCGCGAGAGGGAGAGCGAGAGGGCAGGGGGGAGAAGGAGAGACAGACGAGGAGGGGGCGCGGAGATAGAGAGGCCTCTCGCTGTTGGCCTGCGTTGTACACGCAAAACTCGAACCATTTTTATCTTTCTCGTAGGGCGCGTGGTGGTCCGGAAGGGGGTCGCGGTCGTCGCGTTTCTAAAGGAAACCTCTCTCCCCTGTGCTCTCCCTGGCCGCCCTTCCCCCTCCCGGTGGCGCGCGTGTGCCCCATAATAGCCGTCATTGTGTGAGCCTTGGACCGAAGTGGGCGCAACTAATTCAATTCAGCGGTGCGACTGACTGGCAGACCACGCCGGCCCGCTCCGCCGCGCCCGGCCCGGCCCCCAGCACAGCTTTGTCCGTCGCGCACCGAATTGACGAGGGATTTGGCAGCACAACAAGTTTGTGTTCCGACACTGGGAGGTGGGTTGGGGGGGCAAGTATTCTTCTGCTCACTCACTCTTACACGCCCTATACCTCTCTATCTCTCTCGCTCTTCCTACCTCTCGATGGTAGTCGGATCGACTGAGCCCTGCGAGCGCGCGCGTACCGCGCGTGAGAAGTAATTTGGCAACACTTCCCTGCCCTGCTGCCGGTGCGTCCGGCGTGTTTGGAAGTTGCCCAGACTGGACCTGACGGCCGGGCCGGGCCGCCAACAACAGCACGGGACACGTTCTGTTGAGCACGGTGGAACACGGGGCGGCCGTATGGAGAGCGTCGCCGCCCCCTCTCCCCTGCAGCCAACGATCACCAAACGCCGCACTGATCAAACGATTTTCCCATCGACGGCTAGAGCTATGGAGCTCGCCGGAGGCTGGCAGCAGCGGCGCCTGGCATTGTTATTAAAGAAAGTGGGAAAGTGAGACTGTTGTACTTTAGGTGACGTAGGGCAAGGTACCTCACATTAGGTAAAGCAGAACACTAGTGCGTCACATTACCTAACGTAGAACACCTGGAACACCGCAGTGGTTCACTTCAGCTAAAGGAGAAATGTTCGGCACGCCGTTTTCTACTTTAGGCGTTCTACATCAGCTGGAGGCGCGATAGTTTCATGTTTTGGTAATGTGTGAGCACCGCGCCCCACATTAGCGAAATTGTAACAGTCTCACACTCCATTGAACAGTGTAGAGTTCCACCGACGAGAGATGATGGCGATTTCCGATCCCGAATCCAATCCCGCTCCAGCCAGCCGTCCCCCTATCGTTCCGGGAAGCCGCCATCTGATGCAGGTTGTTCTTTGATTATGACTCCAGGCATCGGGCTGGAAAATTAGCTCGCGCGCCTCTCCCGTCCTTTCAATGCGGGCCGGGCGCGGCACTCCGCAGCGGACGGCGCGCGGCCTCAAAGCCTTGGGCGCCACCGACCGGCATAATCAAGAGCGTCAGCCCTGCCTGTCTATCTGTAAATCTATAAACGCTCCCGCTGGGATGTTGTCCATGAAACCATTACAGCACCATGGAAAATGCGTTCTTACATGTGCGATATATTTTGTAATTTGCAATTTTCAAAATTTGTCGTAGATGTACGAAGCCGCACTCTTGCTCGTCATTTGATTCTAATTCGATGAGCAGGGCTTGGCTTGTGGTGTCTAAAAATTTTGAATTGTGATTATACATCTTCCATATGGGGGCAACATTATGGCACTAAAGTAGCACTTTTGCTTTGGTTTTAGTTGGAATTGAAATACCTTCTACTTGTACCAACACTTTCTACTCACGTCGTTTTAAAGGTAATTTCGAGCCAGAATTTTTCTCTATTGACACATTTCTATTCTACTGTTATTAAGTCAATTTTTAAATTTTTCGTCAGAGAATACGCCACACTGTCAAAATGCAAACAAGAATGCGTCCCTCCTTCTCTGTTTTGGCAAAGAACGTTAAGTCCCCATTGCGGTTTAGTGCATATTAGTCTGCGAATTGGTACAGGGACTTACTTTCCTGGGTGTGTCTTTTTCGTCCCTATTTATCGGGTTTGCTCCCGACCTTTAGCTGAGTGGTTTACATTGCAAATGTGAATCCCCCCGCCGCCTCTTTCCCTTAGGCCCTGCCCTAACGTTTGCGCTCGGTAGATGCCCAAGGCCCCGCGGGACGAGCGCACGGTGCCCCCTTTACACCTGCCCCCCGGTAGGCCTCTCGGCACACTGCGGGTCGACCCGTGTGGACCGAGTGAGCCGGCCGCGGGCCCGCGGCAGGGCTGTTCAGTTAGCCTCCTGGGCTGCAGGGGACGCGGGGGGTGTAGAGTGGCTTGCGGTTTTGTCCTCGTCCAATGCGGTCTGCCCATCGACATCGCGCGGACCGCCCCGTGACTGCTCCTGACCGCACCCTTCAGAATCGATTATTTTTTCTCTCTCTGTATATAGTTTTTTTTGTTTGTTTTTTCTTTGTTTTTTTTACCTCTTTTTTGATTAGTATTCTTACTACAGATAAAATGACGTTTAATTGTCAACTAGTTTATTTTGTCTTAAAAAGGAGTCGTGTGAATCCAAATACAGCGCAATGTGCTAATGTGCTTTTTTTACACGATTCGCTAAAGGCCGCGTTATTTGCTATAATGTGCACGAGCCACAAGCTTTACAATGAAAAAGTCGCGGATTCTAAGTGACCCTCCGGGTGCGATCGTGACTGGTTGTGACTGCCCCGTACCCGCCCCCCTGGTTGCTCCGTGACCGCCCCGTGACCGCTTCGTGGCCAGGTGGCCCGGGCCGCGGTATGCACAGCGTCACGATGGTTAATTGGCGTGGCTTACTCTGCATTGTACTCGGGGGGAGGAGAGGGATTTGGGGCCTCTGCTACGCCAGCCGCCCCCCTCGCACATACGTGAGCACACAGCCATGTCCGCGTTCGCGATGCATTCAGTACCGCGCGGTTGGTACACATGATGGAGATTTTCGGGACTAGGGGATAGGCTGGAAATAATGGTACAGCAATAGAAAGAATTAGCGGCTGGATTACGGAGATGTTTTTGTTGTTTCTTGTTACATGTGGTGAATTTGAGTTGTCTTAATAGGTCCTTTCTTTCAGACATGAATATTTAAGTTGTAATCGTTGCGTTCGCTCTTCTGCCTGTTTAAATTGGTAACTTCTAACACGCATTGCAAATTTTCATTTCAAGTATTTTTTTTTCTTGTTTATTTAAAACTATTATCGTGCTCCTATCAGCATGGTCAAAGGTTTCCTGGGTTGCATTTATGCCAAGTGATTCCATGTTGATATAATTTTCCACATTTCATAGTTTTGGTTTGTGTGGTTTTTCTGAAGAGCCGAATTCTTTTTTACCGTGTCTATAATGACAACTCTCGGCACAGACTCTCCTCTCCTCCCCTTATCCCCATTCGGTAAATAATGGAGTCGAAATGATTGCACTCCGTGCTTTGTGCATCGCAGAAGGGGAGGGGTTGGCGGGGGGAGTGGGGCGGCAACGGGGTGTGAAGATACGGAGTGACAGCGGGTGTGGACCGGGCCGGGCCCGGCAGGGCCGCCTGCCCGCCGTGGAGTAAATGGGCCAAGGGGAGGAGAGATATCCAGGGGGCTCAGCAGCACGTGTGTGTGAGTGTGTAAGTGTGGGTGAGTGAGTGCTGCCGTCGGCGGACTCACACACGCCCACGAAAATGTCTTGCTCTATTGTTGTCACTGTAACTGTGGATCAGGTGCACTGTAAATAGTATATATTCTCGCGCGGGTAAAACAGGCCTCTAGGGGCTGTCAGAGCACTGCGAAGTATTTTCATCCTTTGTAACTTCGAAGCATTTACTTTGCAATTACAAAAAAGTGATGATTTTAAATTGCGAAGCGATGAAACACGCTGCAAAGCACCGCTTTGCAATTGCAAAGCGTCTCTTTGTAATTGCAAAGTAAATGTTTCGTAGTTACAAATAAAAATACTGGAGATCAAAAGAAGGCGGCATCATCAAAATCGTCATCAACGTTTTGGCTTTTATAGCAGAGTTCAAAATGTGTCATTAAAAATGTGCGCCAACTTTATTGTTTGAATAAAAAGTTTTGATGTTTGGTGTTTGTAGGGTCTAGTACAGTAAACACCCTACAGGTTTTGCTTTTGGCTTTGTGAGCCAGACATGACTTCCTCTCTGCCCCGACAGAACTTCCTTATCGCTCGTCCGTAATACGACCTAGTTGGGCAAGTCCGGCTGTCGGATTGAGTGACCGAACGAGGTAACTAAATAAGTCGAACAAGCGGGATGGACAAGGAAGTAAACGAGTTGAAGAACCCGAAAAAGGGAGAGGCCGGGGGGAGCGGAAACAGGGGAAGGGGGGAGAGGGGGAGTGTTTTGGCGGGTTAGTCTTCTTGGCCAGTGGCCGGGCCCAGCCCTCCCAATACGGTGGGGCTGAGGGTCGAAATAAAGGGAGACATCCAAACCGAATAAGAGGCCAGTGGTAGTGGCGGAGCGTGGTGGTGAGCCGTGCCTTGGCTGGGGCGGGACGGGGTCAGCCCAGAGTATGGGGCAGGGAAGGCCATACCAGCCCATACTGCCTGGACGGAAAATTGAATGTTACGGAGGACCAGGGCGAAAACAGGAAAACGGTCCGGCACAA